ATTTTTGTTCAGGTTTGTGAATTTTTATCGAATTTTTGATTTTTGGTTCAACACCTTTCATGTCCATTAAAGAACTCATTTCTGTGTCGATTTTTCTGAAAAACGCTGATTAAAGGCATAAAAAAATTGTAAATTTTCAGTTACCACGGAGTCAAAAGTTAAGGAAATAACTAATCTTTGGCGGCCATTTTCTCACTAATTTTACCTCTGAAAACAGGTGATCCCCATCTCCTTCATTCGCAAATATCTCGACTTGTATTCAAGATAAATGGATATTTATTTCATCAATATAAAGAAAAGTGAACAAGCTTTATGATGATACCAATAACTGTACGTGCCCAGAAATTGACGAGAGCCTGAATTCACCTCGTCGTGCCTCATATTTCCCTTTTAAAAGACAATAGTTATTTATTTTTCTTCATACAGTATCCGCACTTGTAAGAAGTTATTGATCACTGAAGTATTTTTTCTCCCAACATTCATTATGTATATTTCCGATAGGCCTCAGAAAGTATATGGCGTTTCTTCTTCATATTTTCTTTTCAGAACTGGAAAATGGACGTTCAGAGCCAAATAAGTAACATCTCAAGAAACTTGGTGAGTTAAAGTTTAAAAACATTCGAGTACTATTATTGTTTGACAGTCTTGAATTACTGTTGGATGTTCCCAGCCAAAGTAAAATCTTTCTTTCAACTCCTCTCCTCGTTCACTGAAAGACCCCCCATTTCAGTGCCAGCTTGGCGCTATTTGTAGCTTATCATGTTGAAGAAATGACCGGTGCCTATTGTTTTTAATTATTGTTCTAGAGTGGTACTATTCGTGCGCTGGCATTCTGTTGACTGTAGTGAATTGTGATATCCAGGTTTGAAGGTGGACATGTGCCTATTCTTAGCATTGTTACTTTTGTGTGCCTAGATCTCTCACATAAACTAATGAGTAAGCACTCGGTGTTGGCTGATCATTGTCATTTTATGAAATGTAGAAAAAAAAAAAGATTGCGCTTAACCGGACTAACCCTTCCCTCTTTTTCCACATACCCATTGGTCTTTACAGAACAGCTCTCTGCAGACGTACCCTCACCCGGAAGTGGGATCCAGGCTACACACGGTAGACGACACCATGGCCGACTGGGAGGCAGAGAGTCAACAGCTCAAACGGAACCGGATGCAGCTAGGACTCTCCAGGAGTTTAAGTCAGCTCTAAAACTAGTTGTTCCAAGAACTGAAGAGTTGTACTTAGAAACATTATCAGTGTCATATTGTGAATATTTGTCGTTTTTCTATTATTTCATTGCTATTGTGCATCTTTAAAAAAGTTCGAGGATATGACAAAATATACTGTCGAGTGCACGAATGAAGAACAGGAGAGTGCCTTTTGGTAGAAAAGTGAGCAAGTGTGTATACATGTGTGTGTCTGTATCTGTATGTGTGTGTGTGT